CCCCAAAACCCCAAAACCCCACTGATAGAAAATAATAAAAAAGAGGGTCTAATGTGTATTAACAATTAATAATTTTATTACAATGAAAGACCAAGGCACATAAATTTCTGAGAGCAAACAGTCTCTTAAAAGAATTAAATATTCGTAATTTCTGCCTATTTTAAATGGGAGGAACAGTAGTAACAGGACATAGCTGGCTGAGAGCAAGCCATTCGAAGCTACAAATAGAGCAGGTGAATAAGACTAGAGATACTAACCTGAGAGGATTTATGATGACAATACATTTAGAGTTAGTGTTGAATCTTAATAGTATTTCAAAAAGGCTTTAGAGATAAAAGGTTAAACCTTAAATGATGGGACTACTAGAGGGAATAATTAGAGTCAATTACAGTAAAACCTAAAAGAATCAAGAAATAAATCTGATGAAAGGTATACCTTTAAGAATAAGAGACTTTCTCATGTGCCTAATAATCAATAGAATAGTAAGTTAATCCTAGAGCCAATTAAGTTTTCCTATCAACAGTAAAAATAGACTATCAACAATTACTCATCCAGTTAATTAATAAATTAAAAGTAGCAAGAGGTATCGAAGCTGTTCCAAAATTCCTTAATAAATCAATCCTATACTGATTCTATGGATTCTAAAATTAACTAATGAGCTATCAGGTAAATAAGAAGCTAAAATATCCCCACAAAAATCAAAATCATTAATAACAAACAGCAGCATTAGCTAATAAGATAAAATCACTAGTCTAGTATAAATAACATAAGTTGAAACGGACAGATGCTCTAAAAGGTTCTTGTAAAGGAATTCTATACAGACATCAAGGAGCAGTAGAACTTGAATTTCAGCTCACTGATAAAAAGCAGAAAGAGCATTAGATAGTATACTAATAGCAAAGAGAAGTCTGAACACTTGGACACAATAGATGAGAGGTCACATACTCTAGAGAAGACCTAAGATTTATTTTAGCTAACTAGGCATCTTCAAAATAAATCTTATGAAAAGACTGAATGAAAATAAGTGGTCGGCAACAATAGTACGATATTTAATGCACCTAAGAATTCCAGCACTATCGATAAATTAAACTCTAAATCTCAAATTCAACTTCCAGTAACGCTTAGAGAGACATTTATGAGTAAGAAAAGGTAATCAAGGGCTGTTAATGAAATGATTTAGCAAGTAAAGTAAATAGAGGATAAGTTAAGAATCGCGAAAAGAAGAAACTAAAAGCTTAAACAGCTAAATAAAATACAAAAAGAAAAGATTGAAAGTGAGAAGCAAAACTTCTAAAAGGTAATGAACAAGCCGATGAGTTTGCTAAAGTAATTTGCTTAAAATAATTCATCAAGAGCTTAGCTTTTAAATGACAGTGTGAGTCACCAGTATTTGAGTGTAAATAAAGACATTTACATTCATGATTCTAATGCTGATTTATCTAGAGTGGTTTAGGACAGTAGTCGTCTTAACCCTCTTAAGTCTTCTCGAAGCTTATTGAGAAGTGAGCAAAGCTTAGATACAATCATCATTAGAAGAAGTTAATTTAATGATGTTTAGTTAAGGCAAACTACTCGAATAGCTCATCTTTATGAGTACTATTTCACAGAGAGAATGCAAAATGAATATTAAATGTCCAAGTAAAAGCTCAAAGATCTTCTTAGTAGTCAGGCCTAATAGAATGAGATAATAGAGGCATTCAAGAATCAAAACTAGCAAGTCAAAAAAATTATCTTGGTATATTCGTAGCTACTTTAGAAAATATAAGCGACACATTAAAATGAGCAATATAACATTAAAACTTTTAAATAGCAAAAAAGTAGATTTCATAGTTTAAGAAATTCTCTTGAAAATGAGGTAACAATAGAATTTGAATTATAATGATTTTGGTAGAGTCCAGAAAACTCAAAGACAAAAATTTTAAATTAATATATGGATGTTTTAACTACTATTGAGAGTGAGATTTAACTTCTTAAAAGGCAGCATAAGCTAAAGCCTTAGCAAGTTTTGCAGTCATTTATGAGGTAAATAGTATAATATACAAGTTATAATTTTTATAGATGTTTAAAGCAAACATTAAACTGCTAGAATGTTGCTATTTATCAGTGTAATTCTAGGGTTTTAAAGTAATTTTTCAAAGATTCTGTTAAAAATCAGCCTCAGTAATGCAAAAAGATATTTTTGTCAGATGGTTATAAGATTAAAATACTTTTGTAAAGTAACCAAAATTATCCATCAAAGATTTTACCCAAAAATTAAAATGATTTCCTCTAAGACATGTTTAACGAAAAGTAAGGAATCTTAAAGGTAATGTAAGATGAGGAAGGGGAGCCTCTTCTAAGTGTACAGGTAATAGATAAATACTACCAGCAATAAAATGATTTGAATATTATAACTACCATCAAGGACAGGTTCAATAAGAATGATAAGATCATTGTGAATTTAGTATGCGAAATTTATAGATAGGTGATTATGGATATGCTTTTGGATATATAATGTAGTTATTATGATTAGAAAGTAAATGATACTTTAGTGATTTGCAGTAGTATCCTCCATCAAAAGACACATAAAGAAGCTATTCAATGTATAATGACCAGCTTGCCCACCTTACTAGAATTTAAATGTTGCTGCGTATTTCTCTATGATCCTATTAGTAAATAACTTAGTTTTAATCTAAATAGATGAGGATATATTTACAGTCTCAAATTTTATTAACAAGAAGGTTAGTGAATAGAGTCAGCCTAAACCATCTGCTCAGGATCATTCACCTCTAATAAGATTTCCTATTACTTTAGGATTGACTGGACAGGCTCTTATCCATAAATTAATACTCTATACTGATTCAATTTATGAAAGCCCATTTTACAATCAAAATTTAGATAATCTATTAGATACAAAGAAAATCAAAAATTTTGTTGCTTTTGAGTTTGGGATTGATGATGATACAGATGTAAAAGGTGGTTATTCTAGAGTGGGTGTCATTTAACTTATTAATAAACTTAACTAGGATAAAATCTCCCAGCATGATTTGGTAAGTCCTTAAAACATTTTTATATTTAAATAGGACATGATATATGCAATTAAAATTTTCTTGGCAACAGCTATTGATAGTATAACAATACTTAACTATACAGTTAAGGTAACTGTGAGTGTGACCTAAGAACTTAACAAGATATTTAAGACGTTGGCCGAGAGAGATTAACGTAGAATGAATAGTAAAATGAATCTAGATATTCTAGAAAAGAATTTGATAGGAATGAGTCTGACTCTAGGTAGTATGATTAGAACAAATGTTAAAAGAGTTGAAGGTAATTGAATTAAGTGATTTTAAACATTACTTTAATTTGCATATTAGATTTATGATTTGCAAAAGATAATGATTTTGGACACAAGGGGTTTTGGGGTTTTGGGGTTTTGGGGTTTTGGGG